TGTTAGCCCAGCTTCGCCAGGAGTTTAATTTAATGGGGGCTGGGAGTTGCGTCCCCTCACGGGGGGGGCTTCATTCCCAGCCTCACACCCAGCATACATGCTCTCTGCGGCCCCTCTGCTGTCATTTGCCGAGTGGTTTAATAATTCATAATTAATGCAACTTGCAGCCCCGGTTTAGCAAAGCACAGAGTGAGATTTAAGCACCTCCGAGAGCTTTGTTGTGGCAAGGTTGTAGAGGTGATGCTCACGAGGAATATCTTTGTGCCGTCGCTTTGCTTATTCGGTTATTTCCCTTGGCAATGTTTTATGGGATAAGCATCGTTCCTAATAGGGGTGGGGAAAGACTTCAGAGAGGATTGTACAGCATGTTCTTAGCAAACCTTAACGTTAGCCAGAAACCTGCTTTGTGTTCCCGGCACTGTAGCCAGCTCGAGTTTTATATCGAACGCCCGCAGACGAGCTACAGCTTTCACTTGTGTTCATCTGAAAGGCGTGCGTTTCCATGGCTCCGGGGTGAAATATTGAGCCTGGCAGCCCCATGCAGCGGAGAACGGCAGCAAAATAACCTGCTGGGTCCACGTGCACCGCGGTGCTGGCTCCAATCTGGCCACGGGGCGGGCAGCCGCCGACGGATGCGCTCGGTGTCTCTTGGAGCATCGTTTTGCAGAAGGAAAGTCTCGTGGGGTCAGCATGTCATCCCTGGGTTTGCACCCTTGGAAAGGGCTCAGTGATGTGGTAACAACCATCTTGTGGTGTGGGCCAGGGCTCCTGCTCCCCTGAACGGTCTCGGGAAACAGATTCTCAGGTTTCCTTGTTAGAAAAAAATCACTGCTGCGTGGTGGGGTCTCCCCTCGCGCGCTCTTTCTTCCAGGTTAGGGCTCGCTCGGGTTATTAGCTGTGTTCCCAGATGAAACACTTCATTAAGAGGGAGCTGCAGCAGCTGTAAATAAATACTGGTAATTCAAGAAGATTGGGCCTCAATGCACTGGTGTAGCTCTGAAATGGCAAATGACCGCAGGAGAGGAGGGTCGGTGCCACCTTCGCCCCATCCAGGACAGTGCGGGACCGGAGACCCGGAGCCGCCCCGCCTGTGCCCAGACACCCGCTGCCTTCCAGTGCCCGGGACACCCTCCGGTGCCAGAGCCTCCCCCAGCCATCTTCTGCTGTGATTGCACAGAAGAGTTTTCTTCTTCAAGCTGAAAATTTTCCTTGCAGGAGTTCAGCAGACCTGGAGAATAATGGATTTCTTTCCTCTTCGCAAGCATTTTTTTCCATGTTTGAAGGCTGTTATTATATCTCCTTCAGCCTTCTCTTCTCTAGACTAAACAACCCCTGCTCTTTCAAACTTTATTCCTAGGTCATGTTTTCTAGATGAAATTTTTTAGACAAATGGTTATCGCCATCCTCTGAACTCGCTGCGGTCAGGCTGGAGCACTCCTGGCTTGCTCCCACTACGCCTTGCCTGAGGCTTTGCAACTCCGCAGAGAGGGGCAGGATCATTTTGCAAGCTTTGCAAGACTAATCTGGGCCTAACCCCCGCTCATAATACTTTACACCTTGCGTTGGTGTAAACGTAAATTTAAGCCTGGAGGCATCTTTGTGTTTCACGTGGGTTAGAAGTTGCATCCTTGACCTGGTACCTGCCCTGGGCACCGTAAGAGCCGTGCGGAGCTCTCGGTATCTGCAGGGATGCTGTAAAAGCACAACTTTGCTCCTGAGTGAGCAGAAGAAATCCTTCGCTGCCACCATGAGCAGATAAAACAAAGTTTCCTGGGCCCCTGGCTACACTGCTTGCTGGGTCACTTGCTAGTGTGGCTCCCAAAAAAAGGCTCGTGCACATGCAGCCTGCCAAATCTGCTTGGGCAGATGCATTTGGCCTCAGCAGGAGCATTTCCCATTCTGTGGTATGGAGAAATGGAGCCGTTGGGTCTCGGGGTGGCTTTGCCGCAGTCTTCCGAGCACGGGCTCCGTCGCGCCCCAAGCTCCGAGTGCTGGCGATGGTGGTGTACGTGCTGCGTGCTGGATTCCTCTTACAATCGACATTTTCCCAGTGATTCAAGATCTTAAAATGTGTGTGCTTAATTATAATCAGGCAGGCTGAGTGAGCAGCCAGAAACATCCCCTGGACCTAATAATTACTGATTAAACCTTGCGCTCCAAGCATGAGCCGTACGTGTATCGCAGGCTTCTCGTCTGAAATTGCTTCCTCCTGTGCTGACCAGCGCTTCGAAGAGGAAAAGAAAAAGCACTTGCAGCGTCTGCTGGAGGTGTGTGCAAGGGGCTGGAGACCCCCATCCTGCATAAGCTAAACCTGCGAAGCGCTGGCTCTGCCTGTCCCAGAGCCGGAGCCCGCCCTGCATCGTGGCTTGCTTTACTGCCGGCGAAAAGAAAAACAGGTTTCACCGCAGGCTGTCCCGCTCGGG